CAATTTTGAAGCCTGGTGACAATGGTGCAGTGTATTGGAACCAAAGAATAAAAAACTCTAGGTATAAAGAAATCTGGGCCAGGATCAGGTGTGGTAATGTGGGAAGAGGTGGTAAAAAAGGCTGGAGGGACTGGTCATGTAGGCTGTGTGGTTGGTGCAGTGAGACATTATGCCATTTGTTGTGCTGTAGTGAAGCCATTAGGCCACAATCAGAAAAAATAAAAAAATTTTTAATTAAATGGAAGGGAGATCAAGGCGAATTGGAGATTCAAAGTCTTATTGTAGAATTGCTCAAGGGAAACATCTGTTTTGAGCTGTGCGAGTTTGTGGAAAAAGTAGAGTGTGAGTTGTATGGAAGGCGGTGACTTAGGTTTGGAGGGAAGGGGAGCATGTAGAGAAATAAGAGTGATTTTAGATTATGGATGTAAAACTGCAACCCCCTTGCGTGCAGCATAATGTACAGTGCAGAAAAATTATTTTTATAATTTAAACTTAAGTTCATTTAGATATAAGTTGGTCTGTATTGAGTGTATATAGTCGAAATGTAAAAACCCAGTTGGGTATACAAGAGTAAAATATAATAATACTAAAAAATTAAGAGTAACAATTTTTGCATTGGCTTTGACTTCTATTTTTTAATTATTAATTTAAGAAGTATCCACATTTGCGTGGAAGAATAAAATACCAATCATGTCAATAAATAAAGTAGAAAATCTGGCAGCATTTCGTGTGCTTAGTTCTCGTTTTCGCTGCGGAAATTGCGAAATATGATCGACTCCATCTGGTATAATGGTAGCAATTTATTCTAATAATGGTAGATACTGTGACCTGGGTCAAGAGAAAGAGAAGAAATAGACAAATAGTTTCTGAAATAAGAAAAAGAATAGTCACAAGACAAGGGGTGTCTTAGTGATGTAGTATATACGAGTCGAGAAAATGGAAGACAAGGAATTGTTGGATCAAGATAAGCTATATTGCTTCGTTTGGATCAACGACGGATGTATATTTTTCTAAATTAATTAAAATAACAGACATAATGGATTAATGGAAATTTAATTATTTTTTATCTTTAATTTAATTAGTCGACACCATATTTCTTATAAAACACTCAACACTTTCAAATCAATGACATTAATAAACAAATTCAACGTAAAAAAAATATCCATAAATCATATCCTTATTTTTTATCGAAAAATAAATCGTTTATCAATAATTAGATAAATGCCAGTCAGTTTTATCTAATGGTTTATTAATTACCCTGTCAACACTGGAGACAAAATTATTTATTAAATCAAAAAAAAAAGCCAAAATATTCACAACATGAAAATGTCGTTATATAAATATATAATTTACTGAGTTAAATCGCATTCAGAACAGTGACTTGATAAAGGATGCAATAATAATTGAGATAAATATTTTCGTTTAATGAAGATAAATTGGAAACTACTACATACCTGTTCATAAAAAAGGATTTAAAAAAAAAGAAACTGCTTAGTTTGCAGCTGAGGCGATAATTTTGCAATTATTATAAAAACTAGTAACGTTTCGAGTATATCTCAGTCCTCATTAGTGACTTTTCTTCAGAACAGATTAGTGGTTTTTCATTTTCTTCACTATTTCTTCTGTTAATAGCACTTGGGTTACAAGTTTTCAGCTGTCAATCCTCTTTTCTCAATTCGTTTGCTCAACTAACGTTTTCAGCACATTCTAAGTTTAATCACTTTCATAAATAATACCTAATTAAGAGAATCCTCGCGTTATTTATGAGTCAAAAATTAGTAGTTGTTTTAACGAAGATTAATCCTCGTGATTCTTTCAAGAGCAAATTTAAGGTCAAGTATAAAATGTAAATTTTCGTTTAAACATGATTAAATATAAATTGGAAGAGTGGAATCATTTCTATACAAAATAAAACTAGAATTTAAAGTAATAAAGTATTTTGCTGAATAAATTGAAAAAAAGTATGGCCCAAAAACAATGGTTAATTCATGTGGATGTAAAATAATTATTTCATACTATCATTGTCAGTTAGAAAAATTTTGAATGAATTAAATAAAAGTATGATTTGTTTTTATTTCTAAGATTAAAATGAAATGACAAAAATAATTAAATTTTTTATAGCACAAAAAAGCCTTTGTTGCTATTAAAAAAAATATTTTCTAAAATTTGTAAAATGCAGGAGATTACCTTTATAAAATATTTATGAAAAATGTCCCCTTTTCTATTAAGCTCATATTTCATATCTCCATTTGTAAAAAAAAAAGTGTACTTACTCAAAACAATTAGTATCTCTTGTATACAAAACGAAAGAGACCGTAACATTTTCCATTTCTTCCATTTAAAACAATAAAACAGCTCTAGACGATTATTACGACTAATTAGTTGGCTGACGAGAGTGTAAAAAGGTAAAAAAAAAGTGAAATATTCAAGCTTACACTAACCATAAGCTTATACTTTAACCTAAAGTACACCATTAGGGTGAGTTTCTGAAACTGGATGACTTGCCTCGTATAAAGATAAAGTATATGTGTATTTTATCTTTTATATACATACATATATTGCTGAAAGTCATAGCTCTTTTGGTTAGTCTCAGGTGCATCTAAAGAATTATTCTTCTGGTGAAGTAATATTTTCTCGGCTTTATTCCACCTCTTTTTTCCAATGAATATCTAAAATATATTCATATCTCAGAATTATTTCTGCATAAATACACAAGTGATTAATTCATTCATGAAAATTCCACTCATCGCTTGAATTTAAAAATAGAAGAATATTATTAATCAATCAATAAATCATTCCCATCAGTTTTAAAATAAAGTAGGAATAAATAACAAAGTCTTTAGAGTCAAATTTTTTGAATTGGGCCACTCAAAATTCACAAATAAAATTTTAAAAACCTTTTGGTAGCTTTTTAAAAGTTTGACAATTAATGTATTTAATGTAAAATTAATTGTTTATTGATAAATAAAAATTTTTAATGTGTTTTTAAATTTTGTACTTATTAATATAAAATTAAAGGTAATCATCTTCTATCAGTCTTCATTTTTTAGAAGCTTTGAACTCTCAATATTTGTTGGAAATTTTCTGATGCTATTAAACTTAACAGATAAACCAAACAGAAATTATTCATTCACTTAAGATAACTTTCAAGACAGTGTTTATCTTTGATGTACTTTGAAAAATCTATTTTCCACTTAATTTATTACATAATTGCACAATTTCGAAGAGTTTTATATACTGATCTGCTGGTATTTAAAATTTTAAAGTTTGTCATGAAAAGTGATTTCTTGAAGTTTATCAAAAGTTTATCTCATTAAAATGCTAAAACATACCTAAGAGTTGTGATTATTATAACATTTCCGTCTTTGAATAGAAGAAAAAAGCATTAATGGATTTATTATTGATGCCTGTTTCTTATAATTTAGTACATGAAATTAATAAATCATTGCATCTAAATGTAATTCACACGAGTTTTGAAGAAAATGTTCAGTTATAAATGTAGTAGCTTTCAGAAAGAATTATTAGCAAGTATATTTTTTATCAGATTTTACAGAATAAATGTTCAGTGAATATTTAGAAAACTGTTAGAAATTATTTTTGAAAAATAGCCAGCTCTACCAGATGTTTATCACAAAGCTGTGTTCAGTCTCACGAGATGAACATTTATCAGAAAGAACATTGGATAAATTTCAAAAACAATTTTTCTTCACACACGAAGAATTTTCAGTACCAACTGAACCATTGTTAATCACACAAAAATTGACAGTTTCCATTATTTAAGTGTAATCCCTAGTCTTTTTTTCAATTTAAAACATCATTTAATAAGATTTCATTTAATCCCATTCATAGATTGAGTACAAATAAATTACTTTAAAAACCTCAGTCAAAAATGTTACGTACAACAAGTAATATAAAAAGAGAAATTTACATTTTTTGAATACCGATCATTCAAATTTACCGCGAATCTCGTATACGACATCTATTATCTCTATTAATAATTGAATTGAATACCTCATATTTTTTATTCATCTGTCCAGCAATTAAAACTGATACACAAATTTGATTTTATTTGTAAAATAATTGACTGAGAAGTTATTTTAATTTTCTTTTCATTCTCCATTATGAATGAATAAACTAAAAATCCCACGTGCCCATTAAACAGAATAATTATTTTAATACCCCTCAATTTTCTCATCGAAAGAAAATAAAAGATTGAAATAATTATAAGTAGTGAAGAATATTCTTTATAAGACAATTAATTTTGGTAAGACACTTTTTTTTACAGATGAATCAATGAAAAGGATGTTTACCCAGAGGCTTTTTCCTCTAGATAAAGAGTATAATTGAATTACCACTAAATTATCTGCGAGACGAATCTCCTAGAGAAGCAATCGTTACAAATCATTTCCTTTATACTTGATAGCAAACTTCAATTTCCTCATTAACGAAAGAGAAAAAGGCGTAGGCCGCTAATTGCCACATCGATAATTCATCCTGCACCCTGTCTTCTTCATTATTACCCAAGTGAACCAACAAACGCCCTCGTTTCAATCTACCATCTCTCTCTGGTAATACAAAGAAAACAAAATGAGTAAAGAAAATAGAGTTGATACATTGACGAACCCACCAGCCATATACTCAAGTCCAATATGTGCCTCAATCTCGTTATAAAAGAAATGTTTTAACAAACCACGCCTTCAGAAAATATTTGCTGGACCTAAAAAATAAAAAAAAACTGCATTATAACATTTATATTGACGCTTCTGGCGTCGCGAATGGACGTTCATCGTTTTACGACTGCGATCTCACGTTGACAGTCTGAAAATAAAAACGAAAATGTTCCTTGTATAGTATCTTTTTTATCACTATCTTATTTTTTTACTTCCCTAACTTGACTACATGACAAGACTTTTTTATGAAAAAATTTACTATATTTAACTTTAATAGTCCGTCATATTGAATAACATAAAAATATATCATATTTTTGAAATTACTTTCAGGATTCAGAGGTCTCGCTGTTTGAGATGAATATCCGTTTCATGGGAAGTTTACTGACCAACTATGCACTCACTGGAGACGTCATGTTTAAAGACAAGGCTGCTGAACTAGGCAAACGGATGTTACCAGCTTTTGAAACGGATACTGGAATCCCTAAATCTCTTATCAACCTTCATACAGGAGTAAGTTACATTTTTTTATTATTTCATTCCTCAAAAAGTATCTTAAAAATTCACCTTCAACTCGTAGTTTATTTCAAAATACTTATCAAACATTAAATTGATACTGCATAGTCAGAACAAATTGTAGAAACATCCCTTTTCTTCAAGATTGATATAAAAGAATTTTGAAATGTTAACAAGAAAAAATTCAATTTACTTCAGTTGTTTAATAAAAGTTTTAGTAGTGGAAAGTGCTTTTTAAAGTAATTACCAACTTAACAGACATTGGAATTCTAGTGGTTATAACAGTTTATTGCTGACAATAAATTTATTACATTGATGAGTTAGAAATGAAATGTAAAAAAATATTAAAACATTTTATGTTAATTCTTGGACAAATATTACTTCATAAAATGGAATTTGTAACCAATAAAAACATTTTATCTAGTCTAAAACAGACCAGAGTAAGTTACTACAAAACATGCTATTTCAAGATCTCTAAAATTGGAAATAGATGATTACTTTCAGCGAATCGTGGATCTGTTCAATCTTTTATCTGTCTAGTAGATGCATTTATGACCTGTGAAGATGATGAACAAGAACATCAAAAATTACATTCAGGTTTTCAGAATATAAACTAGATTAAGTTTATATACATAAAATTTTTCATCAATAACTGAACGTATTTCTCCCTTGATTGAAAGTAGAAATTATTTTGAAATGAAGATATTTATATCTAAGAGAATAATAGTTAAAAATTATCAAGCATCAATTATAACTTGATTACTCTACGAGCACTCACATAAGTAAAAAAAATACCAATACTCAGATAATTTTTTTTTTATTATTCTTTCAGTTTTATTCATAACTCTTTCTCCCTAATGATTTAATAATCAAATGGGCGTTGAATTAATCAGACTCTATTCAAAGAAATCATATCAGTCAATAGCAGTAATTATTGAAAGAACTTTGGTATCCTAAATTTTCTTTTGTTTTATCATTCGATGATTCATCAAAATCCATTTAATAAAAAGAATAATCTCATCATATGAATATCAAATCAATAAGAGCACTACATGGCTTTTCGTAATCGTATTATGAATATTTTTATTGTTACTAATAATTAATAATATTATTCATTTCGGTTTGGCAATAGCATAAATAAAAGTATGATTATGCATAAATAAATCAAAACTCATATCAAAAAGAAAAATATTCATTAATGTTCAACAATTTAACATGCTCTTTTGGCTGATGCTGAACATTTGCTAAAAGTTTTATCATGTAATCGGCTTCTCTGCATTATTGAATCATTAAATTATGTAAAAATAAGTAATCCTAGTTATTTCATTTAAAACTTAATAAATAGGCCATTTTATTTCATTTTCATTCCAACCAAAATGATGGCAATATTTTTAATTGGTTATTCGAATCTCATTTTCAAGTTCTGAAATGGTATGCATCACTTCCAATGACTAATAATAAATAATCAATTTTTCAATAGAGATACTAGATAGAGTTGGCCTGGAGATAAATTTTTAAATTTCAATAAAGCTGATCAAACCATCATTTCAGAACTTCTGAATTCAATCACTCCAAACTAAATTCAGTTGCATTAAATTGTATAAATTTAGGTTCAATTCAATCATATTTAATACTAATATTTTACCAAATCTGAGTTGTTAGACTAGACTAATTTATGATTTATTCCATTCAAACTTATTATTTAAGCTGTTCAAACTGAATGTCATAAATTATAAAGAGTCTTACAACTAAAGTCTAATTAGATCAGAAAATTTCAGTTTTATTCAAATTCCACATGAAACTTCTTGGCTAGCAATTTCTTCTTTCATCAATATTTTGTATTTAATTTTGTTCCCATAAATTATAAATTTTTTTATCCAATTTTCTGACAGTTTCATTCATTATGAAAATTATTTGAATAATTGTCTACGGTATTTTCCATTAAACAAACCTATTCCGAAAGTAGAAAATAAAGAAGTTTGAAATACGAGAAGCTCCCGGAAGAGTTTGGATTCATTTATCTTCTAGCTGCGAAATTACCGTCGACAGCTTAATTGGCCAGATTGAATTATAAAACGATCATGCTTATTCTTTACCTACTTTTCACTCTATTTCGACTTTTATTTTTTAACTACATTTTTTTTTACCAAATTATCGATCAACTTTCTTTCATACTACTTTAATAAAAAGTTAATTAACTGTAGTTAGACTAATTTTCATTAATTATGCTTTCAGGCTATTCGAAACTATGGATGGGCAGGCAGCAGTTGTAGTATTCTCTCAGAAATAGGCACAATGCATTTGGAATTTTCTTACCTAAGTGATATCACTGGTAATCCAGTCTTCAGAGAAAAAGTTGAACGTGTGAGACAGAAGCTCAAGGATGCTGTCAAGCCCAAAGGATTGTATCCAAATTATATTCATCCACAAACTGGAAAATGGGGATCACGTAAGCATTAGTTGTTTTTTTATATAAATAAGCTTTTATAGAAACCAATATTACTAATTTAAATACGAATAAATCAAATTAACTTATTCATCCAATAGCTAATAACTTACAAAAAAGAATCACTTGTAGATTTTTTTGTAATGCATTTTAAAAGAGAGCTATTAAGTTCAAAAAACTTTATGCAGATATTTTTCAACTTCATTTTTGTTGAAGAAAAGCTTTCAAACTTTACAAAATATGAATGAATCTTTTTTTTCTTTCTCTAATTTCTTCTTCAAATTTTATAGAGTGATAAAAATTACTTGATCTTATTTTTTTTCTTGAAGAGAAATATTCGCTTCTATAATCATTTTAAATTCTATTCATCACTTTGTAACTTTAAATTTAACAATCAATGAAAAAAAAACTTTCATTTTGTCATTTTAATTATATTCTTTTCCATTACAATTGCATTGCTAATTGATATTCAATAATTTCCTTATATTTATAATTGAAATATAAATAAATAAATCTTAAACAAACTATTGCATAAATATAGCTATTTATTTTCATTACCAATTAAATTTAATGTCGAAAATAATATCAATATTCATCTTGATCAAATTCATCATGATTATAAATTGGTTTTAATTAATTCTGATTGAAATGATTAAATTAGCATTAAATTAATTAACAAACATTGTAAAATATATATCAAAAAATAATAACATTTTCAATTTGTCTTTCAAAAGTAAATCATAAACAACAAGATAAAGAGGATCATTAAATTTACCATCAAATTTTTCAGAATAATAAGACAAATACTAAAAAGTAAATAGCTCCTTTAAATATAAAAAAATGGAACAGCAGGTGTTGGATATTATACACAAGTTTCTAACAAATGACCGCGAATTATCGTATAATGGCAGTTGATCGACTGGGAAAATCGGTGTGTAACGCGCGAGAATCTCGTCTCCACGCCAGTCAGTGAACCCTGGTCTTTACCTTTCGGCATTAAAAATATACCTACTTATTACTGTAATTTCGTTTAATAAATCTCCGTGGAATCCACGAACTAAATAGATTTTTAATTTACGTCCAACCGATCAAGGGTCCTGGTAATCAATTACTAATGTTAAAGAGCTCTGAATATGAAGTGTGGCGAGGCAAAGTGTGCCTTTTATTCCCAAGTCTTCCAGCCACGAAATTGCTGCCAATATTAAACCGGATCCCTGCTGGTGTTCATTGTATAAGAGATCACGTGCGATCGACAATCACTAACATTTATCACGAAACATCCCTTTAGGCATATCAAATATTTTTTCTTATCCCTCTAATGTGTAACATCTATCAAAATAATAAATGTCTTATGACACGCGAGCTTTATTAAATAATTAGCTATAAAAATATCGGATATTTTGCCAATTTTCATTTATCACTTGTCTCTTTTTTAATTTTACAGATCACATGTCCTTGGGTGCTCTTGGTGACAGTTTCTATGAATACTTGTTGAAGGCTTGGATCCAATCAGGTGGAGAAGATGTAGAAGCAAGAGAAATGTATGAAGAAGCAATAGCTGCTGTTGTTAAACATATGGTCTTCAGATCCCTTGAAGGTCTTCTTTATCTCTCTGATTTAAGATTCGATAAACCAGACCATAAAATGGGTCATCTTGCCTGTTTTGCTGGTGAGTAAAGCTTGTGAGGAAAAAATTTCATTTTAGAATATTTGTTTTTATTAAATTTTTCCGAGTTTTATCAAGTTTGTCCAAGATTTTTAATTAATATTTTATCCTAGCCCTTTTGATATTATGTGAAAATACAACATGTTTACATTACCCTTTTTATTTATATTTTTCATTATTACCAGAGCATGGTACATGAAGCACATTCGCTTCATGCAAAAAATTCCCTTTCATCTGCCATGTGTACATTTTTCATAGATAGATACTTGTATTCGGGTATTCATGAAACTTTTATTTTAGCAGATGCTTAAAAAATTCTCTTGCAATTTATTTGTAAAAATAGCCCAAGTGAAGCTAAAAATTGCCAAAATATAGGCAGGATTCTTTTTCTTGCTATTGGATATTTATACGAATGTGAAATACAAATTAATAGCGAAAATATAGCATTGATATGTATTAAAAAACTATGTTTTATATTTCATTTCAATCTACTTTTTTATAATTTTGACTTTTAACATTTATTCATTAACTTTTAAATAACAATAAAAATAACTTCATTCTTTTATTTAGAGTAAACACTATCATTTCTTACTTGATGATTTCTATTCTTTAAAAATGAATATATACTAGACTGTTGAATAAACACGAATGATTGAGCAAGATTATTCCAAAGAAAATATTCTTTACTGACAAGTAGAGTATTAAAAATAGTTTATCTTAAATCATTTTTAAAAAAATATTCTAACAGAGATCTGTATTTAATCCTGACTAAATATACTCAAGAAATCATACCAGCTTTAATGATAGAAAAAATCTAACGTTTATTTTCTATTTTAAATTTTTTAAGACGCAACAATATATCTATTAATATAATATCATCACACACAAAAAATATTATCTAAAAAACAACGTCTTCAATTAATCACATTCAATGAAACATTTATTATTTTTCTCAACAAAGTTTTTTATCATCATGAAGCTTGTTAAAAAAAAACTTAAACTTCATTTATATATTTCATTAATTCTAAAAGAAACAAAAACAATAAAAATCAATTTCAGCATAAAAATAAACTTCAATAAATATTTTTATTGAGTAGAATATAATTACAAATCCATTATGAAAGATACAAAAAATAAACAAAGAACGTATTTAAAACATCATTAATTATTCTTCAATTACTTCTAGGTGGTATGTTCGCATTGGGAGCAAAAACTATAAAAAACGAAAAATCAAACGAATACATGGAAATAGCAAAAAATATAACGAATACCTGTCATGAATCGTACGATCGTACTGCAACGAAATTAGGTCCTGAGGTATTCCATTTCAAGAATAACATCCAAGCAAAAGCCATAACAAATGGCGAAAAATATTACATTTTACGACCAGAGGTAATAATTTTGGCATAATATTTATTTTATTTAAATTTTTGTTAGAAAGTAAAATTTAATCAAGCAGTACATATAATTTTCTACCGCTGAAGTAAATGAGTTTAATGGAGTTATTTACTTATTCCAGACATTTGAGTCGTACTTTATTTTGTGGCGACTGACGAAAGATCCAAAATACCGTGAATGGGGTTGGAAAGCAGTTGAAGCCTTAGAAAGGCATTGTCATGTAGAAGGAGGATTCACAGGAATCAGTAATGTGGATTCACTCGATCCAGATAAGGACGACGTTCAACAGAGTTACTTCTTGGCGGAAACACTCAAGGTATCCATTTACTCACTACCCAAGCAAACTTTTATACTGTCACTTTATTTATACTCACATTTCAAATCAAGTGTTGACAAATATATGGATCTTTTACAAGAAAAAACCTTCTCAAGTCTCAAGAAAAATAATCAAAAAAATTTTTACAAATTTGTAAATTAATATATATATTATGAAAAATAACTAAACTGAAATTTAATAATACTTTTAAGCATTAACTTGTTATTACTATTACTAAATATAAGAACGAGGCATAAAGTAAAAATTCATTAATTAAAATTTTATATAAACATACTTTATTACTAAATGGAAAATTTTTAATATAAATGATTAAATAATAGAAAAAAAGTAGGATCAAAATGACATTTATCAGATAACGAACGAATATTAAAGTATGACTCTTTATGTCGATTGTGAAAAAGAGACAACGATGAAAAGAACGTTCCACCCTATTGGGCTTTTGATGAGTTTTCGCACTGTGCATCATATAGCTCGTAGCAATCTAATAATGGATAAAGTCACATACGTGGTTCTATAAAATCCATAAAAGCTTATGCAATGAAACTCAATAACTGTGTAATAGAGAGTTCATTTAGCTCATCTAGTATTCCATGTAATTTAAACTTTCACTAAACGAAAAATTATCCATTTCAGTATCTATACCTACTCTTCAGTGATGACAACCTTATAAGCCTGGACGAATGGGTATTCAACTCTGAAGCTCACATGTTACCAATCAAAGGCAATCCTCTCTACCGTGCAGCACCAACAACATCATAAGCTGTTTAGTTATTACATCAAGACAATCTAATAGTTGCTACGTCAATGTTACTAGCTGATTGATGGGTGGTCAACAAGCAAGATCTTTCTAAAATAACCAATTGGAATTAGTCTATGAAGATATCAAGATGTTCTGAAAGGAAAAGCACTCGTGTGTGTTAGCATCAATGCTTTTTACGACATTGAACTCAAACGATTATTTAAATAGGAATTAGGGAATTTAAAAAAATATATAGTTGATAAAATAAATTTAAAAAAGCTAAAAGTGAACTGTTAATCGTCGAACAATTTGTAAATAACTGTTTTATGAGGATAGAAACAATTTGTGCTTATGCATAAATGTACTGGAATGATTGACCGCTTCATCGTACCTTTCATGGTATCACGTGGCCTAAGTTTGCTATAAACAGCAACGAACGATGGATAAAATCATCTTAGACTGATACCAGAGCCATCGAGACTGACTTCAAATTAAGGCCTGGATATTAAGCTACTTCAATGTCAAATGAACGATTTTTTTACAAGCTGTAAATGTTGTGTGCTTTTTTATTAATCTGTAACTCAACAAAATTCTACATCTGTTAGCATAGTCAGTTTTATGCATTTGTTTTGTTGTCACAAATCAATTTACACACAATTTTAATCGAGTTTTTTTTTCATAATCGAAGTCACAAACAAGCATTTCAATAACACACAATTTAGTTATTTTATAAAAAAGACAAAAATTTATTATATTAGTTATTGATGAAGCTCAAAATGTGATCAACTGTCATATTCAAAATCAACTCAATCATTGCTCTCTCTCTTTCTCTCCTCATAATGAAAAAACAAACCTCTTTTGTCTCACACAAGTGTTCCTTCGCGTATCAAAAGCAAAGCTTTAGGATTTTGCTCGCGATTTTCGAGGTAAAAAATAACGTATTATGTATATACATGAGGAAAAATTCTCTCTTTATAATACTTTCAATGACAAATATAAACTTTTTATCAGCGATTTAAAATTGTTTTCAAGTGGGAAACGAAGTACACTTATCAGTCTATATGCACAGATATTAGCCTTTTGAAAAAATGTGAATTTCATTATTATTCGGCAAAAAAATCCTAATTCAGCAATTGAAGACTCGTATCCCAATAATAACCGCAGTGTAAATGAGAATTTTGTATGATGAGAAAGATTAACAAAATACTATCAATTGTAGTAATTGATGATATAATTAATTTTAGACAGCAGTGTGCATAAATATTTAGAGACCATAAATAATGATAATAAATAATTTTATGAACGTAATAACTAATGTGAGAGAGCAAAAAAAAACTATGTGAAATGTGTGTTAAACTTAAATTTTGTATATAAAAGTTGAATGAAAGTAATATTCTATTCAAAATACGTGAAATAATGTGAGAAAAAAAAACAAAAACTAATGAAATTGTATAGTTGTAACTAGATAAAGCTGATAGTAGCAAAAACTCATTTCGTTATCAGAGTTTAATAGTCAACTATACAAAAAAATGAGTTAAAATAGCAAACAAACAACGCCATGAAAGCTGTGTTGTTTAGTATCTATTGTAAAATACTTCTTGATAAAAGAGTGTTAGAATGCTTCTCATGGCAAAAAAAGTTACTTAATACGTTTATCTTACGTAGCAATACAGTGTTACGATATCGCGTAACACTTGCCAGCTCCATGTAAAGTTAAATTATTATTCTATGATTAACTCTTGATATAGTATTCATTTTATTCCGTAAATTAATCTTTATATCTTCCAGTAAATCAGCTATTGATTAAAAAAAATGTATAAGATACCATGTAATGATATGCGTAAAGTGATTGTAAGATTTTGCAGTAGAATGTAAAGATAGTTTGTGATTTCACATGAACATTTAAAGTTCATTCTTGTAAAAAAACAAATCAAGACAAAAAGTGGGTGAATAAGAAAACCTTTTAAAGCATTTGGTGAAAATAGATAATGAAAAATTAAATAAAATTCTGTAGATTAAAAGTATGAATGAACCAATAATATTTGTTACAAGAACGAGAGATGGTTCGCATTTGATAATAAGAAAACAATAGATGATATTTACTTTTGTGAATAGATATTTATTATTATTAATAATTTATTGTTAATTAGAGGAATTTTTTAAACGATTTCATTAGCGGGATTTTGGGTAAAATGTAATCGTTTCAATATGCCTGCAACAATTTTAGTTACATTCGGCTCACTCCAGACTAAATTGTCGGGAAGGAGTTATTTTATTCTTCCTGATGGATGCGATGATAATAATAATAATAATAATAATAATAATAATAATAATAATAATAATAATAATAATTATAATAATAATAATTAATAAACTACTAGAATGAGTGAAAAGAAATATAAATATTACAATTATAAATAATGAATAAATATATATATATATAAATGAATAAATAAATATATAAATGATATAAATATAAATATATTCGATGTTGAAACAAACAGTGGCAGTGGACTTTTAATAAGAATGTATTGTATTTGTAAATATAACACACCGTAGGGATTACGGGGTTTCAATTAGATAATTTTATGTGATTATTACTTTAACATGATCAGTAAATCAAATAAATATTGATAATATATAACTTCTTTTTTATTTATTGATTATAACTTCACCTTTTTTATATTAAATCAAAATCGACCTTCCTCGATGCAAAAAAGGTTTCAGAAAGTAGATTTTGTGATGTATTGATGATAAAACATTAACACTTTAACTAAATTTTTGTAGATTAAACAAAAAATTATATTATTTTAATATTTTGTTTGTGGCAATTTTGCACATAAAACTATTTATGTCAAATGAAACCATTTCAACTAGAACATATCCAATGATTATGGAGATTAATTCTTGGCTATATTTTAACAAAAATGACCCATCGAATTCAATACATAACGTTGACATGATAAAATCCTGGATATTTCATGTAACGCCTGAGGCAGTTAAATTGTTACATTATATTCCCAACAGGAACAACAAAATGATTTTAATTTCTCTGAATCATTACAAACATGTGGTCATGCTAATCATGCTTTAATACATTTTTCACAGCACAAAATTTCAATTATTGTTTTGTAGTAAACTTTTATTGTCCATTTTACTACTAAAAAATTAATATATATCTATAATTTAAGTATGATTTAATTCAGCATTATTTACCACGCATCTGTGCTTTTCAATGCAATTTTATATCCAATAGAATACGTATTAAACTCAGGAAATTGACTAGTTTTATCGATGCATGAATACTATTTTAGTATGGATCAATCTAATTTTATTAACATTCTTATCAATGGCTTTAAAATGCTCCGAAATGATAAAAAAAATTCTCTAAAGCTTCAGTTTTCCTGATTTTTCAATAATTTTTTTGATAATAAGAACAGAAAAGTAAACAGGATCAATAAAATGTTTGACATGATTTCTTTGATTACCAGAGCATTTATGCATTAGATAACAATCTAGCTATTAACCTACTCCAATGATATCGGAACCCAAGGGCGGAAGTCTGATATCGAAAATGGATCAACTCCATTTACTCAAACATGATCCACAGGGCGCGGTTAGGGTCGACCAATCACCTTACCATCATCTTCCTCAAGCCGATAAGTCACTCGATGGTTTAAAAATATCCTCTTGGGTCTTCTAAGAAATGAAAGACCTATTATTCTAAAAGGGCTATCTCCACTTTTTTTCTTCTCACGAAAAAGCTTTTTTATATTACATCACCCAAGTGCTCGTGATGAAAAATAAACGGGGAAGAAAATATATAAAATAAAACTTAGCTACATCTTTAAGTAGTTATCATCAAAGTCAATGTCATTTTTATCTACGTGACAATCAGTCACTATCTGAACGTCAATCGGAAGTGACAGCTTTATCGTGTACGAAATTGAATAAATGACTGAAACACTGGAAAAAAATTCAACAGCAGAATTCCTATTATGCTTCTTGAGATGTGTCTAAAGTGGAATAAAAGACTGTACCATACGACAGAGATCTCCAATGCAGCAGCAGCAGCTCTAGGAAAGTTTAGACAACCAAGACGAATGTCGTTAAACTATCTTCCTCTCTCTCTATTTCTATTGACATATAGGAAATTTACTCGATCACTAAAAAAAATAGTCTAAAAAATCTCATTGTTTGATATATATTCTAAAAGTGCATCAACTTTGTGAGTTAAAATGTTGAATTAATTTCTATTGAATTCTTAAAACAAACTTGGTGTGGCCAACTTGAAATCCTTCTTGCTAACATAAAATCGTGACTCGAATAGAAATGATGTTGCTAAAGTATACCACCAAGAAAAAGATTTTCTCGGACTTAATAAACTTCATTTACTGATAATAAATAACATAGCAAGGAGAAACTGTAAAAAACCAAGTCGTGAGCTCAAGTGAAATACTCTTTTTTTTGGGAAAGAAAATTTTCTTTATTTTATTAACAACTATTTATATTTAAAGAGGTCAGTAGATAAATAGCTATCACAAAAAGATGATTATGTCGTAAAAAATTTCTGCATAATTGAATGTTACGTTCATTAAAATAACTTTTGCTTTGCTATTGTGTCTCTACAATAAGTCCTTGACAGAAAGCAAAAAGCTTCCCTAACTCTTCAAAATAATACCTTAACGATCAAGAAGGTTTTGATCCAATCAATATCTAAATTATCTCATTATTGATAGGTATCATTTCCTAATCCATTGAAGAATCTTTTCTAAGTAGAATAAGTGATCCCGAATAATCAAATATCGAATCTCAATCTATTTATATCCTCATATATCATCTCGACCCTTATTTTTCCAGAAATATCTACCCTTGATCTCACGTCAACACTAGAGTACATACTCGAAAGAATAAAAAGTCAGCAGAGACTCTAGATCATCATCCTGATGATCCCTACCTTTGTCACTTGTGCAATTCTCCTACCACTAGTTTCCATTCTCTCTTTACTTCCTCACCCCAAGTAACCGCGGAATCGGCAGTGATACTGAGAGTGCGAGGGTCTAAAAATACTACCATCTCTCTCATTATCTATCTTTGTCGTGTCGCTCGAGTTGATCGAAATCTCGTCGCGACACACCAAGAAGACACTAGTCAGTTCCTCCACTGCAAACGACCTTTAACCCAAACAAACTGACTTACCGCGACCTAGCGCGAGGACGTTTTCTGTGCAAGTGTCACCCGTAAGAATTATCTTTGTGCGCGTGTGCTGTTTAACTGCCCAAGGTGGTAAACTCGAAATGCTGAGGTCGATGCACTTGCTTGTTATACTTATTAGCCTTCCAGGTAAGTTCAAATAATTATGTCATTATTATAACATGAAAAGGTATTATGTTTTGGTGTCATTTCATTTTTACATTTACTTTTTGAACTTTTTAAATAAATTATCTTTGTAATAACTAATGCAGAGCTTTTATGAAATTTAGTTAATTAAAAACATTAAAAAATAAACCGAAAATTAAGCTGGAATAAATGTATCAATATAATGAAAAATATTTCTGAAAATCATACATTGCTTTTTTTTAAACAATAATAGAATAACGGAATAAAATGATTGATGGTTTTTATAAAACATGTTTCAGAAATTCTCACATATTTTTTTTTGATGTATGAGAATTATAAAAATGTATTATTAATTGAATAATTAAGAAGCATTGTTAATTTATATTATTGAAATTTCATTATGAGCTAATGATATTTTAAATTATTTCAAGATTTAATGAACCATAAATAATTTTTTAACTATAAAAGAATCTTGCTAATGAATTCAATAAAACAACATACATCTGATGTGATACAATGATGATATTTATCTTTGAATTCTCTATCATATAAATTAACAAATTGAAAATTATAAAAATATTTATTTTATCAAATGAAGTCAACCAAACATCGTACATGATTATTAATTAAAATTTTTCATTATTAATTAATAATTATTTTTTTAATGAGGGTTTGTAATGATTTATGGATATCACAAATCTATTGTTAAGGCTAAACTTCATTACTAAATAAGTTCTCTAATAAAATAAAAAAGATTAAAAATTAATTTTCCTGGCCAATAAAGCATTTACCCAGAAATTTCATTCAGCTATTTTTGTGATTTTTTTTGACCACTCATCCTTATTCATTGTATAAAAATATTCAGTAATTTTTGCGAATGATTCGAACCAGCTAAAATAAACTCTCTTGACATATGCCTACGATTTAATAACTCGCATATGTTCAAAGAGTTGAAAATAAATTGAAAATAAAATTTACGGAATGATGATTCTCTACATTGTTGTTGAAGTGATAAACAAGATGATTAAGACATCAAAGGGGAAAAAATGCAACGTTAGTTTCCCGTGTGAGTTACGTTACTTGTCATAGCATGAATATTATTGACCATGGTACATCGTTATTACCGAGTTAAGTTCAATGTCACACATCCTCTCGATTTATCGTCGCTTCTTCCGTCATCATATGTGCTCGTGTATTGTGTTATGAACACTTCATTTAACAGCTGTCTGATCAATCATAATTACAGTTTATTTGTCTCAATGTCTATTTAATGTATACACATAACACCTTTATTTATTTAACTGCTTAGGGAAATAAACAATTTATTTTCTTCATCTCAATTAAGTAGTAATTTTATTTATGATGGCAATTTTATTTATTGGAGTCAATCAAATTACTTCTGCTGTGCTATAAAAAAATATTATTTATTACCAATTAAAAGTCTCGATTGTTGATGAACATCTTTATTATAAATACAGTGGAAATTAATAATAAATATTCATTCATAAAATTTATAAATGAACAAAATTGCCTAATGTAGATTTTCATTGATATAAAAAACAAAAATTCAACAAAATTGCAATTCCACTTTAACTGAAATAGAGAACATTACCAGAGTACAGTAATAAACATCATCATTTATAATTCAAATCTGTAGAGGACGAAAAGCTATTTAATACCAGTGATGATGTGAAACAGTAGGTCAACTTACGACATTTTGACAAAATTATTTTTAGCACATGAATAATTTTTTTTCAGAAATAAACTTTTCTATGAAGTTAATCGAAAAAAAAAGAGCAACAAAACTATCGAACAAGTTTATTTTTATGACCAAAAATATTTTCAAGAGCTAAAGAATTCGATTCCATCGTTAATAAACTTTCTTCATCACTCAAGCGATAATAATTCTATTAGCACAATTGTTTTTACAACTTTTCTTCTCAAATTTATGACAATAATTAAATTAGCTACGATTTCTAGTTGAGTAGTATAACAAACTATGGCCAGTAATCGATTAAATTAAAAATAGAGCAGCTTAGATTTATGTTGATTTCATTATAGGTACATAAATTTACATAAGTAATACTAGAATATTCATGAACATGTTAATTGTACGCTTGCAGTCTTCGTTATGATGCGAATAATAAAGCTACACATGATTAACGATTCGTCAACATGATTGTTTGCATATATGTTTAGATATTATACGAAATCAAGAAAATTCTATCCCCAATTATTATTACTATAACTGCTAATACAATTATCTGTAGCAATTGATACATCAATCCATAAATCACTAACAATTTATAATCAACATCAATCATTTGCTCAATTAAAATTAATAACTACTTTTTTTCTTTTTTATTAAAATTCATTTAATGACCTCACGTTCCAATGACTTTTCGAAATCAAAGCTTTTTAATTAATCCAACACATTCCTGGTAATATTTTGTTTGATACTTGCTAATAGTAGCGATTAAATTTCTCAACTCACAATTTACATGAATCAACTCGTCAAGGAAATTAAACTCTTTTCACGTCGTCCTTAAATACGAATGTGAAAAAAGAAAAATTTCTCTGATTAAAGCAGAAAAATAATCAATACCAACATTAACGTGACTGCAACCTTACGCAGTTTAACTCCATTCATTCACTTTGATACTTTTGCTTTAATCTTGAAGTGAATGGCTCAATTAGTCTGGTACTTGAAATTAATTTGTTATTATATTTAAAAATTGCTGCTAATTTGAAGCTAACTTGTAAAAAAATTCTTGTATTTAATTAATTGATTCATTAACTTTCCAAGTTACAGATTTTAATAAATAGGAAGTTCATCGTCAGGACCCATTATTATTTTTTTTTATTTTAATATTAAAAGATGAAATACATTGGCTGTTAATCATTTGTGTTTACTATTAATACGTTTTATTAATTGTAAATATTAGTCAAGAAAATTCCATATTAAAAATGATTTATTAATATTCTGATCATGATTATTTATTAACTAATTCATTTATAAATACCTACCTACAGAGAGCAATAATATTCTCATGACGACACAACTTCCCACTCGCTATTTCCCTGAGAATCTAGCGATCATTGCCCGAGAAGATGACTACTAGGTTAAACTATAAATATCAACTTTGAGTATGTAGTCTGTTCGAGTTATTTCCACGCAAAGTATATACATATCTTGTGTGAAAAAAAATTGCTCATACTGAACTCGAAATCATTCCTTTTGATGAAATTCTTTTAATCCATTAGAACTGACATTGTGTTTGGAAAACATGTCAATACTTTCAAAAATGTTTTTTTCTGTAAAAATAAATTTCTCTGATGGGTTGAGATTAGATTTGTAAATATAACATTTAAATATTCGTCAATAAAAAACCGAATATTGGTTTGAGAAAATTTATCTGAAAAATTCAAATAAAAAGGGAACAAAAAATACTTGATTGAATGCTATTTTTTTAATTGAAAAGTTTTTTCATGCTGAATTGAAGTCAGGAATGATCAGGATATTCTTAAGAAGGTTTAGAAAACGTTTTGATAGAGAAATGAAGATTGAATATTTATTATTATGGATGAAATGATAGCTAACTTAATCCAATTATATTTACAAGCCTTTATTAATCAATTACTTGGTCAATATTGCCTCAATAGATTGAAAAAAGTATGAATTAACTCAACCATCAACTTTTATCCAATAAATTGCAGACTTGATCATCTTTTCTTGAACTGAAGAGTTTTTTACTCTACTTTCTATCTTTACAAAAATGTAATAACTATTGATTTAACTACTTATTTTTATTAATTATTATTAATTATCAATAAATGCTGTAATTTATGTGTAGAAAAGCCAATAAAAATAAAAAGAATGTCGACCCTGCCAGGATTCGAACCTGGAATCTTCTGATCCGTAGTCAGACGCGTTATCCGTTGCGCCACAGGGCCTGGTGCTTTCAGCAAATTTAACACTGCTCATGAACCGTTATTTTATTTTTAAATGTCTCTTATCATTAAACAAATACAATAAACGCTAATAACAATTTTATTATTGAGAATCTGCTCCAGTGCAAAGGTGTTGAATATTACCAACGTAACCGAGCTTAAAACTTGATTGTTTATCATCACTCGTATTCTGCGCTGATTATGAGATTACTGCTGTCATCAACAAATAACTGAATAATTCATAATTTTCTTTTTTTTAATAATAATATCGTGAGTTTTGATGAAAATGGATGAAAAGAGATGTTTTTTTTTCCTTTTAAATACTCAGGTTTTTTAAAAAAAAAGATCAAACACATTTCCTTGGATGAATACTAGAGATATCATTGCTCTGAATTTCTACTATTTACAAAATCTAGATAAACATGCCAAGTACCAACCAACAGTGTTCAAACAACTCGAAAAATTCCTGTGAAACAATGCTTAGCCCTTTGGACTCGTTAATTCTGTATAGAATATCCAACATTTTACGATAAAAAAACTAGAAAATCTACAGCAATCCATAGAATTTATGAATACAACAATGCTCAAAAATCTACTACACAATGACCAGAAATTTTTCTGATAAGCTAATGGACATATCAACCAAAGATGATAAAAAATTATTGCAGTAATTCCCAAACAAATTTGCAAGATCAGCTATCACTAGTCTATTCACAATCCTCAATCATCGTGGCTAATATTACCAATGTCTGGCCAACATCAGAATACAAAGAAAACAATGCACCATAGAGATTCAAAATAAATATAGAGATATGACAGAAATAAATTTGAAAAAGGTGGACACTTAACTAAGCTAATGCAACTGAGACATTAAGCTCTTGCAAAAGTAGAAATAGAACATAAATAATTGACGCCAGTGGAGGTTGGACATGAAGCAGCCTTAGAAAAGCACATAGTGTAGGCGCCAGATGAAAAGGAACGTCATAAATACCAAAGTAGAAAGGGAAAGCAACCAATAGCTACAAGTAGAAATGGAATGTCTAGATCAACCA